ATAGATTAAGAGTTTAGTGCAAACAAAGGTACATGATCTGTCTCTTATACACATCTAGATGTGTATAAGAGACAGTATCTAAACTGTGCTTGCTTTTGGAAATGGATCAAGATCGAAAGTGAATTTTGTTACGAATATGAACATTGTTGAACATTATTGCTTGTTACTGTGTTATTCTTGAAGTTAATGCATCTTTAATTTGAATAATTGTTTCACAATTAAGGGGCCGGGATGTAATGCCCTAATTAACCAGATGTATAGAGGGCGTCATAACGCTGACGTATAACAAAGGTAACCATGGCGGCATTTGGAAAGAAGTGTACGTAAAGTTTCTCGTACTTAATTTAGCCTGCCTTGCCACTGAGAATCTGTAGAGTTGCGAAATCTTTAATTGAAATGTCTACAAAACTTTGTGAATCACGTACACGTACACGTACACGTAAACGTACACGTACTCATACTCGTTGACGTTGTTCTTCTAGTATTCGATAGACGTCTTGTCATCGTCCCGTTACTACTGTTATACCATTTTTTCACCGTTTCATTTATCATCCTTTCTACGTTTGAACGATTAAATTTACATAACATCTTATGCTGATTCCATTGGTAGTAATTTTTAATTTGAAGTTGTTTCGCATTCTACACTAATCATAAATGATATGGAGGTGAGTTTGGTGTCAGTCTATACCCCTGTAGGTTTGGGGCCAAAGAATCGATTAATGATGTGCTTAAGTTTCGTGTTTTGTTTTTTTGTCGGAAAACAGATTCTTTTAGAAAAGGTGTCAAAATGCCGAGGAGAGGATAAATCGTTTCATTTATATTTTGGTAATCAAAGTATCGCTCTCAAATGTTGATGGCCAGGTCTTGAACGTCTGCCTAGCTAAGCTGACTTGGTACACTATCGGGCCTAACCTGGCAAGTCCTAGGCCTTGCCTACTTACTTTCAATCTTCAACTAGCCTGCCTAGTAGGCCTATGCCTAGTCCTAGTAATGTAGTAGTACAGTAGGCTAATTAGGCCTAGGTCGCTTTAACTTTACCGAAGATAACTAAGTGCCTATAAGTAATAATTGGAAATTAAAAAAAGATATATCATAGCCATATACGTTCTTGTGCAATGAAAACTTACTGAACTCACGTCTGAACCTTTTGTTTTCCAAGATAAAGAACCGACGTAAACGAACTCTACATGTGCTCTCCTCTTCTTTACCACTGCCGCAGGGTTGCCAGATAGTCGGCAGGCTTCACGGCCAAACACACGCCATCTCACGGCCAAATTCGGCCAAACTTTTTTTCAATATCGGCCAAAATTCGGCCAGATTTTAATCCGATTAGAAGACAGTTATGTGGGTACATATTCATTTGAAATACTGCAAAAATTACAGGAAAATCAGGGGCCGTTCGTTTGAAATTAAAGAAATTCAAATAATATACTCAGAACATGTTAAACTTCTTTTAATTAATCTATCACCATAAAATACATGCCCAGCTACATCATAATATTAAATAGCCTAGGCCCTGTTCTTTTAGTTGCTGACGCCCGAAAATAACCTTATGCGTTTGGGCGATCAATTTTTCTTTTTTGCTTTTTTTTTTCACCACTCCCCACCTCTCCCCCACCCTAAATCCGCCTCTGCTATTTAAAATCACATCATTAAGATTGATCTAAATTGATTTAAATGTATTACATATTAACATACATTGTAGTCGATCTATAGCAAAAATTTTAAGGTCCTGTTATTGGCAAACCCGTTTCTCTCTTTAATTAAAATGAAATAAGTTACATAGTTACGTAACACAAACTGGCGTTAAAGCCAACCTATGAAAACTTTAATAAATACTTTTTATCTAAACTTTCTAAATTTGCATCAGAATGTTATTGTCGCAGTACTAAATCAATGTTGCTATCAGAATTATCTTTTTCATTCGCATATGCAACCTAACTCCAGAGTCTCTGCAACACTTGCTTGAAATTGGAGGCATCGCACCCGGATGTGCACATCAAGCATTTATATATGGCGCTCTACATAAAGAACACTGCAGCACCTAGGGCTATACAATTCAAGTGGGCAATAATAAATTAATTAAGTACAGTATTTAATTTATATTCAAAAGAAATTCAAAAGAGATAGAACCTCCACTAGAATGGAAAGTATACAAAACACAGTATGGTACAAACTTGCATTGAACTGTCTTAAACGAGGATAAACTTCATAAAAAAAATATGTATTTCATCCGAACAATTTAAATTATTAAATGTAACTGTTATCTTTTAAATAAACTCTCTTACCTCACATCAGCTAAAGGGGGAACATAGATTAAGTGTTTAGTGCAAACAAAGGTACATGATTCAGGGGCGGATCCATGATTTGGAAGAGGGGGTTCAAAACGTTTCCAAAAATACCCAAAATGAAAGGGGGTTCGGGTGTCCTCCCCATGGAAAATTTCTCCCTTGAATCCGCCACTGGATGGGGAATCCTTTAACGCTGAGGTGTGACCTAGGGTTTTAAAGCAAAATACCGTATAGGCCTATACTCACGTATAGACGAGGCTTAAAATAGCAAATTACGATCGAAAAAAAGGGGGTCGTCTTATACGCCCGACATTCAGATTTTAGATTTTTATATTCATGTTCGTCTTATGTGCGGATGTTCGTCTTATGTGCGGATCGTCCGTAAATCTGGTTTTCTACTAGGCGAATTTATTCACGCGAATCCAAAGCGTCGGCTTATGCACATGCGCATTCACATTCCTACCGGAGTTTTTGAGAAACGAAAAAATGCGCAACCAATCAGAGCTCAGGAAGCGAGCCGACGCTTTGATTCGCGCGAATAAATTCGCCTAGTCGAAAACCAGCTTAACACGCGAACTTACTACTGCAATGAAGCAACTAAATGTTGTATCAATTAAAGCAATTTTAAATATGGGAAAATACGATTTTGGTGGTGAAGATGTAAAAACTCATAAAATGGTATTATTTGGAAGATTACCCTTGCATTTGGCTCCATTTATCCAGCTAGACGCAGTATACAGGACCACAAAAAAAAATTAGGAATTCCCACCATGAAACAGGGAGTCGTCTTATACACCAAACATACAAATATCAACCAAAAATCTTCTAAAACTCGGGGGTCGTCCTATACACGGGTCACCTTATAGGACCTATACGCGAGTGTATACGGTATTATTACGGAACCGCTGCGGAAGTTCGGGTTCCCGTCACATTTTAAACGGTTGGTTGTAACAATAAACTCGCGGGACTGCTCGCGGCTACTAGATTCTACAAGTGCGTGGTTGGCTGGGTTGTTTTGGGCGGAAAGGAGAAATTTTCTCTGTGAATTGATTCTCTAACGAGATAAAGAAGGCTCTCTAATGACCCAAGCTACTGTATACCGTTTTTATATTTTTAATCAAACCAATTTCTTATAATTTTAAATACGTTTTCCCCTGATTTTGTGATAATTCGTTATCACGCAAGTGCTAAATGCGTGACACATTTATGATTTCGCATGTGTTTCTGCAAAATGTGTTTCATCCAATATCACTTTGAAGTGATGCGTGACGGTTGGTAACTATGGCATAGATAACTGCCGGGCCCTAGGTAAAATTGGTAAAAATGCACCTAATCGGACATAGAGACAGAGCCTTCAGTGGGGTCTACTCAGGCGAAACTCTGAATGCTTATACATTCTGAGGTTTTTTAAAACAGATACGGTACAGCATTAACGCTCAGAAATATCTAAAATATATTTTGTTTAAAAAATTAAAGAATATTGAGAACAAACTATGGTCAAGTCATGTTATCGTTTAGGGCCTATTAAGCATTTCATGAATCTATGATATATTA